AGATTGTGTGTGTGTGTGTGTGTGTGTGTGTGTGTGTGTGCGTATACAGCAAAAACTTACCATCTGAACTGATGTCTTTAGCTTTTTCTTTAGCTTCTTCACTTTTGCAGTACTCATCAGTGGAATCTAAAAATCGACAAAAGACACAGCTATTGCATTATCAGTTACAGAGATTTACTACATCTGTGGAAAGACGTAACATGGGACTATTTCATTTCTAAGATGCCACATTGTGAGGTTGCCATAAGTGTCATGCCATATTATCATACAATCAAATGGAAAGGCCAACATTTGCTCCAGAGCAAATACAGCATGTGTCACTCCATCTATCTCCTTCCCCATCCTCAAATGAGTAATGATAAGGTTTTGTATGCTGGCAATTTGAAATTACAGTTGTACAAAAGAATTAATATGACCAAAGTTCTTTGGGCATATCTTTTGCCACCATTGCATCTAATTTCAGATAATTTGGTTACAATATCAGGTCACAGGAATATCAGGTCATTGTCTGAAAACAGCAAAAACAACCCGCTTTTACACAATTTCAAACTTGTGCATGCAAAAGGTTTGAGCAAAGCCCTGGTGACATATTCCCAAAGCACAAAAATACCGAATTTCATTAAGCTAAAGGAGTAAAGAAGACGATCAGAGTAACATTATTATTATAATACTAGACTAATTATGGGCACATTCCTGCCAAGTCATTAGAAATGCTCTTAATACCAGGGCGAGATGTGTAGACCAGATGTGCTAACGGGTCTTTGTGGGCAAATGTCAAAGGTACCCATATACATAACTTCAAGTCATTTGATTTTAACTAAATATCAGGGCTCATATGTCGAATGCAAAATACCAAATTTCATTTGGTCATTTGGTTGTAATATTAGGACACGGGAAGGCCAAAATGTACTTTTTGCCTGAAAACAAAAAGCGTCCAATATCTTCAGAAGATGTTGGACGCACATAAATGCCGCCTAGCTAATTCTTAAAAGGCAGCTAGATCGGTTGCTTTTGCTTCTGTTATGTCTGAGCCTTGAAAAGAAGTCTGGGCCCACAATGGGGTGGATCATGGTGACCCAAATTGACGAACCCATTGTTTTCAACAATTATAATTTCAGTCTCTGAATCACATTCAAAATTAAAAGGTGACACAAAGAAGACACAATATATATATATATATAATATTGTGTGTGTGTGTGTGTGTGTGTGTATGTGTGTGTGTGTGTATGTGTGTGTATGTGTGTGTATACAGCAAAAACTTACCAGAGGAACTGATGACTTTAGCTTCTTCACTTTTGCAGTACTCACCAATGGGGTCTAAAATCGACAAAAGACACAGCTATTGCATTATCAGTTACAGAGATTTACTACATCTGTGGAAAGACGTAACATGGGACTATTTCATTTCTAAGATGCCACATTGTGAGGTTGCCATAAGTGTCATGCCATATTATCATACAATCAAATGGAAAGGCCAACATTTGCTCCAGAGCAAATACAGCATGTGTCACTCCATCTATCTCCTTCCCCATCCTCAAATGAGTAATGATAAAGTTGTGTATACTAGCAATTTGAAATTACAGTTGTACAAAATAATCAATATGACCAAATTTCTTTGGGCATATCTTTTGGCACCATTGCATCAAATTTCAGGTATATAATATTGGTTACTCGAAAGGCGAAACGTTAGGGCCCAGTTCTACCAGCGAGTCAATGGACCCGGCGGCCCAAAGGACTAAATACAACGTATTGGAGAAACGAGCGATCATGTCAGACTGATATTGGTAGAGAAACACGGAGAACATTTTAACAACATGAAAATAGTTGGGAAAACTCGTACATCCACGAAATCGGAATGTTGAACTGCCACAAAATCACAGGAATTTTCAATGGAATCTTCCCTACCTGTTTTACGTACATCATACCCGGGCCGCGATAACGTTCGATAACGGGTTCCGGACCGGGCCGTACTTTACGTTATATCATACCCGGGCCGCGATAACGTTCGATAACGGGTTCCGGACCGGGCCGTACTTTACGTTGTATCATACCCGGGCCGTGATTACGTTCGATACGGGTGTTCCGGCCCGTGTGATAACTGTCCTTACGGCCCGGGGGTTCTTAACGCGTACGGCCCGGAACTTCCAAATGTTCCATAGAACGATTCGAACGCGTTTCGCCCTAACCGTGTGCGCCGCTTTCGAAAATTCGAATACAACCTTTGGAAAATGAGTGCAAGTTTGGTGTCCCTAAACTAAGAAAACGCCACAACATCAATTCCAACGTCCGAATTCTGTATTCGAATTTTAGAAAGCAAACGCGTTCGAATCGTTCTATGGAAGCCAGGGATAACGTTCGATAACGGGTTCCCGACCGGGCCCTACCGTAAAGTACGGCCCGGTCCGGAACCTGTTATCGAACGCTATCGCGGCCCGGGTATGATGTACATAGAATACAACACGGGGTATTCCGTATCGCCCGAGGTACCAGCCCGACCGCGAGTCGGATCGCCCGACGGCCGAAGGCATACCCAACCAAATCAAGGAAGAATGTCATACCCAACCAAGAAAACACGCCTTTCAATGCGAAATGAGCGAAAATTTGGTGTCCCTAAACCCGCTAAAAGCAACAACATCAATTCCAACGTGCATTGAAAATCGCGTTTTCTTGGGTGGGTATGACATACATTGTAAATGAAATACAACACGGTGTATTCCGCATCGCCCTCGGTCCCGGCCCGACCGCGAGTCGGATCGGCCTTCGGCCGTCGGGCGATCCGACGCACGGTTGGGCCGATACCTCGGGCGATGTATTCTATGTGTACATCTAATATTGTGGTGAATCCCGCTTTATCTAGTAGACATACCGGTGTTATAACCCCTAAATCTTAGGGAATTCGTTATCTAATCCGGGAGGGACATAACACCGTCATAACATAGGTAACACCTGGAGTTAGGCCCTGTTTACGGGGAGCAAAATAAAAGTGTCGGGCGTCGTTCGACGCGCGCGCGCGCCAGTCACCTACGGTCCTGTTTACGCCGCGCAGTGCGGCGTCGCGCGCGCGCGCAAGTCGTTTCACGCCTGACACAGATAAACGACGCACGTGTAAATCGGGCCTACTACGATCCGCAGTTGCGGTGCGAAGCGGGAGCCGCGGTCCCTGCATGCGTGTAAACGGGAAAGTGTCGTAGGCGACTTGGCGCGCGCGCGTCGAACGACGCCCGACACTTCTATTTTGCATCGTGTAAACCGGGCCTTACCCATTCTCCCACGGCAGAGCTCTCCCGCGACAAATACGTTAGCTTTGTGATATTGTGATACCGTCGCTACAAGTTATGCTGAGGTCAAATTTCCAAACCGGGGCCCGGCCGGGCAGTCATTTGGAACGAAAAATATGGTATAAAACAAAACAAAGCATAGAAAGGTTGAAAAATAACAACAATGGAACTATTCACGTATATTCTTGATGAAAATTGGTGATTTTTCCTTATTCGAAGCAGCCCGGCCGGGCCCCGGCTTGGAATTGTGACCTCAGCATAAGAAAGCACCCCTCCCTCGGAGAATGGGCTTACCTACGAGATCGACGAAAGGCTATGGATTTCAGGTAACTCTGCTTTGCACATCCGGTAATGTCTACCTGAATAATAGAAATAGATGCCAGGAATCTTCCCTACCTGTGTCAGAAGAGTCGCAAGGCGGGTGGCCAACGCTGTGGATGGGCTGTTGAGTCAAACACGCGGCGACCTTCATGGCACACTCGCTGTCGTATTGCGTTCTGTCGGAGCCACAGACCGGGTGGAGAGTGTGCGGACAAGAAATGCGCCGACAATCACACCGACCTGTCTCCGCATCGTACACACCGCCGTACTTGCATCGGTCAAGACCTGGAGAATTGGAATGCAAACCATCATTAGCAGGCAGTACGGACATGTAGCCCAAAATCTAATCATTCTCAGGTCTCTTCAAGACTTACCCGCTACAAAGTTTCACGACAATCCATCCATAGCTCTTTGAGTCATCTTGCTGCAGTACCTAACTGAGCCACTTGGGGCCTGAAATCTAGTCATTTCAAGACTGCATAGAAAGTGGGATTTACTATGAGAATGAATTCAAGGTAAATCTGGTAAAGATTGATTTAGGCGATAACCGATGAGAGTATAGGTTTACGTACATCATACCCGGGCCGCGATAACGTTCGATAACGGGTTCCGGACCGGGCCGTACTTTACGTTATATCATACCCGGGCCGCGATAACGTTCGATAACGGGTTCCGGACCGGGCCGTACTTTACGTTATATCATAC